ATAATTCAAGGTATTGAGTTATTACAAAAATAACCAAATATAATATGATACAGGATATCCGAGGGTTTCCGAAGCCGCTAAGACTCTGGATATAAATATCCAGAGAACTACTGGTAGTGCTCATGTCGATGTAGTCTGCAAGTATTTGCACAAACAGTTGTAGATTGTCCCACTAGTGAGTTCTGCTGCTCTTTTTGGTGTGTTAGGATACAGTTGAGAAAGCATCGTTTTAAAGACGGTATCAAATACTTTATCTGCCGCTGGAAGTTCCACCGCAAAAACGCTGGAAACGCCTTCAGGCATGACATCAGCTTCGTTGACGAGATGTGCCATGTACTGCATCACTTTGCTCACCCGGCAGTGACGCATTTTATGCGTTGGCTTGATAGCGTACTGCTTACTCAGTAGTTTGTACGGTCGGATCCCAGCGTCAATACTGCCAAAAAAAACCACAGGTTCCACATTTGCTTCACACTAGTACGGGCTGGAAACTCCCAGTCTTTTGGTACACCATGACCCAATTGACCATCATTTCACTGCCATGTTTGCCACGGCGTACTTGCTGGCTTCATTGGCGCAACGATTCCGCTACCGCAGGGAGTACGTATAGAATTAATAGCTTTTCGAAATTCATCTGACAAGTCTACACAAAGACTGGCAAGGTATCGAAGCGACACAGAAGCCACCCCACCTACGACAAAGTGCTGTCGAAGCTCGGAAACCACATTTGCAGACACACTATCAGGAAGAGACGTCGTGATCTCTGTTTTGAGCTGGTAAAAATCTTTATTGAGATTAAATAACCATTCACGGATGTCTTTCACCTCCTTGGCAATGGCCAGATGGGCTGGTATACCAGTTGCCTTCATCCCACACGCTGGGAAGGACCCAATTACCAGATTTATTGACCCGCGCTGCTTGCTTAGTAGTGGATTCGCTGAAAAAACTCTCGCTTTAAATATTGGATGCGCAGGACTAAGTGCAGCTCGCAGATATTGCTCATGATAGATAACTGACGCCAAAAGAAACGGAAATGCTACTCTTACACCACGGGGATAATCGTTGAACCACTAACGAGTCCTTCCCAGTACAAAGATGTCATTTCGCAAATTGTCGCTGTCGAAAAACGAGGAGGGAGCACCCCAAGGCGCTCGGAATTAAACGGCAGTCCTAAAATCATTTTTCCACACACTTGATCTGCTCCTTCGCCAAAATGGATGTAGCGGTCTTTAAGCTTTCCCATACTTTGACCCATACGAAGATACACAGACACTGGAGTGGGTCCATTCACTTGTCCAAGGGCATAGGAACAGCAAAGTAAATGCACGCCAATAGCGAGTATCGGGTATTGAGACGGCTCGTAGGGATTAGCGTAGACGTGCTTTCCAAATTTGTCCACTCCTGTTTGGTCTCCTTTATGTCCTTGTTCTTCAATGACAAGAGCATCGTGGATCCACTCCACGTGCTGCAGCATTATAGTGTCAATTGAATCTGAGCGGCACATTAGATTCCACATCAATACGAACCAAATAAAACTGTAGCCCACGATTGGCCTCGCTTTGTCGGCGTTATTGACATCAATTTCCGTGCAAGTAGCTTGTACCCACTGGCTTTCAACTGGCGCTTGCCTTCATTTATCTTCATTAAGCCTCTTTTCTTCAGGTTGCTAATTACCCTCTCGTTGCCATCGAGGAC